CTTGAAAAGCATGGTTGTAAAACTTTCTCTCAGGCACTGCATGAGAGATGTTTTGCTATGTCATCACTGATGCTTTGGCCAAACACCTTAACTTAGTATCCTCTGGTTGTTGAGCCAATCACCTTGCAAGTTTATTCCTGAATATCTCTCATTAGTTGGTGAATACACCCAGTTGCTTCATACTGTTTGTTTCTCACCTTGAACCAAATAAATTTTGTCCTCGACCTCTCCAAGACATCATCGCTCAGAGGCAGATATCAAAAGTTGTCTTGGATCGTTGAGATCAAAGTATAAATTTTGAAGGGGGTGGAGACAATGAAGTATACAATACATTTGATCATACTATTTCCCAAAAGGAGACAGCATGTTTGTATGTATGCAAGTGGGAACAGGCAATAAGATTTACAAAAGTGCACACACAAATTACTGCCTAGTGTGAAACCTGAATCCATTCCTTCATATCAAATACCAGTATGCTTAAGAGTTAGAATCTAACTTCTATGTTTTGGGTTATTTGAGTGCAAGAGTAAGCACTAGGCTAGGGATAATTGTAAGTGGCTAAATCTCTTAAAGTCATAGAGTCATGAGTTACAAGTCTTTTTCTATTACTCTTAAACTATTGAAATGGCAGTGCAATCATGGTGACAGTGGAAGCTCTGTGATGTATTTTACTGCATTTTTCAGTGTAAAATATGGATGACAATAAAATCATTCATTCATATAGAATGGAAACAGGCCCTTTGGTCCATCTTGCCCACGCCAACCAGGTTTCCTAAACTGAATTAGTCCTATTTGCCTATAGTGTCATACAGCATAAAAACAATTGAAAGGGGATTTGAAAGATCTGCCCAAACAGAGACTTGAACCCTGGACCCTCAGATTAAAAGTCTGATGCTCTACCAAATGAGCTATCTGTGCTCATTAAAAAAATTTCCTTTGAGCTGGAAGGGAATGGGAAATCTTCTCCACAGTGAGCAAAGTTGGATCCTATTGTAGGTAGGAACAGGCTTTATAAAAGATTCCAATGAACTATGCAAAAAAAGTAAGGGTTCTGGCCAGCATTCTACACACTGTACTCCCTCCACCCCAACTCAAACACATTACCTGGTCATTCATTGGCTGCTTGTGCAACTTGCTGCACACAAATTAGTCAATGCACTGGTCTAAGAATACCACCATATGCAAGCTCCCCTCCAAGCTACACACCATCCTGCCTTGGAACTATATTGCTGCTCTTTCAAGCACTGGGTCAAAATCCTGAAGCTCCCTTCCTAACAGCATTGTTGGTGTACCTGCTCCACAGTGACTGCAGCAGTTCAAGATGCGGTGTTCCAAGTAGGTGGGTCAATCTCAGGAGCAATTAGGAAATGGACAACAATTGCTGATGTTGCCAATAACTCTCCCACATTGTTAACAAATAAAAAGCCATTAGGACATTAGAATATTGAACTTAGAACATAGAACTACACAGCACAGGGATAAACCCTTTGGCCACGATGTCTGTGCTGACCACATTGCTATTTTAAACTAATTCTATCTGCCTGCAAGTGTTCCATATCCCTCTATTCCCTTCATGTTCACGTGTCTGTCCAAAAAAATAAGTTTTAAATTACCAGCATGCTTCTACATAGTTGCACTATGTTTCAAGTACAATTTCGTAGGTCATTTGCACCTTTAAAGACAAACATGTTCATTATCTGAAGTGCTGATAGGATTCCAGTGACTACTAAGGCCAAATTGCATATACAAGGTTCTGCTGTAAACAGGGCAAGACATCGCAGACGACAAAGTTTTGGAGGAATGCTGGCTCCAGATTTCTAGTAAAAGTGCTACTGTTTGCATTTTCTTTTAATAGTTGCTTTTGAAGAAGCCTGTATAATGTTCAATTTTGTTGCACCAGGTGCAGTGATCCTGTGCAATCTTCTCTCAGGACTCAAAGTTGACACCAAAACTAAAAATGGTACTGATTGCTCTTTATCACTTCCCTCAAGAGACAACAGAGTGTGCCCCAGGCTCAACTTGTCCACAGAAGATTTGCTTTGGTGAGTGTCAAGCATTTAAGCTACGTGAATTCAACTGTGGCTATCTCAATACAGTAAGCAAGACACCTTGATAGTCAGAGAGCAGCTAATGTCTGGCCTTTTGTCCTGCTACCTCATCTTCAGCTTCTCCAGAGATAACTTGAACAAAAGTGGTTGAGATTCTTAGCTAGTAACTAGTCTATTTCTTATGTGTCCTAAAAAGTGGACAAAACTATTGCCTTATAAAAACCGGAAGAACAGCGGATGCTGTAAATCAGGAACAAAAACAAAGTTGCTGGAAAAACTCAGTAAAAGTCTGGCAGCATCCGTGAAGGATAAAATAGAGTTAATGTTTCAGTTCTGAGGAAGGGTCACCGAACCAGAAACTTTAACTCTGTTTTTTCCTTCACAGATGCTACCAGACCTGCTGAACTTTTCCAGCAACTTTGTTTTTGTTCCTGAATATTATTGGTTTGTAGACTTTCAGTTTGAGAGGCAGTCTTACTCCTCTTCATGAAGCTTGAAATCTGCCAAAAGCTTTGGAGTTGCTTTGACATTTCATGTGATTTGTTGCCAATATGGGCAATTCAACTGTGTGCTGCTCATAGAAGTGAAAGTATTCACTGTTGTCAATGTTATGATTCAAGCTGATGGTCACACTGGAAAATTCAGATCTTAGAACAAAACCTAGCATAACAGACTAAGTTTTAGTTTTCTTTTTGTTTATCATGGAGGTCAGATGTTAAACATGTTCACAAGAAGCTGCCAGTTTGCTTTTAACAGAAGTTTATTACATAAAACATCAACTATATTACATTAGACAACTATGTGAACAAATCTCATTACAAACATTAGAAAAAAGATTTGCTTGTATTGCTGCAATACCTTTACAGACACACAAACCTCAGTGAAAGAATCAACCTTATCTCATACAAAAGTTGTGCTCGGTTGTCAATTGTAATCAATTTCCTTTCGACAAAGCACCATGCAGTCATTATATCCTACTTTCTTCAGTTAATATCTCACTCCCCTAAGAACCTTAAAATAAACTGCTTACTCAGCTCACTATTACTTAGCATGCTAAACTCATGTCTTCAATGGCTTTGTATGATGCCTTCCTCTCTGATACACTTGCAACATCCTGCTACTGAAGCTTTCTTCTCAGTGACTTATCCCCAGCCCTGATTGCTTGGAAACTTTTAATAATCACAATTGCTTCTGGACCCTTGGTGGTCCTAAACTCAAGTCAGCAAACAACATAGCAACTATCACCTGAGGTGGCTTAGTTGAAATCACAGAACTTTTTGCAAATGCTATTCTGAACTCAATTACTTTGTAACTTGTAAAACAAAGTCAGATCTTCACAGAACGAAAAAGACCATTAAGTGTAGAAGTTGAGAGATCATGTTGAGATTGTACACGACATTGGTGAGGCCATTTTGAAGTATTGTGTACAGTTCTGGTCACCCTGCGCTAGGAAGGATATTATTAAACTGGGAAAGGTTCAGAAAAGATTTACCAGGATGTTGCTGACATTGGAGGGTTTGAGTTATAAGGACAGGCTGGGACTTTTTTCCACTAGAGTGTAGGAGGTTGAGAGGTGACCTTATAAATGTTCATAAAATCATGGCCAGCATATACAAGATGAATAGCAAAAGGTCTTTTCCCTAAGATGGAGGGGGGACGGTTTCAAACCTAGGGAGCATGCTTTTAAGGTGAAAGGAGAAAGATTTAAAAGGGACGTAAGCGGCAATTTTTTCACACAGAGGAAATGAACTGTCAGAGCAAGTGGTAGATGCAGGTATAGTTACAACATTTAAAAGATATTTGCACAGGTACATGAATACAAAAGGTTTAGAGGGATATGGGCCAAACTCAAGCAAGTGGGACTAGTTTAGTTTGGGAAACTTGGTTGACATGGACGAATTGGACTGAACAGTCTGTTAACATGCTATGTGACTAACTAAAATATAATGTTTCTTCCACTTTAGAACCCAAGCTCTCAAATAACAATACTATGTACTTTCACAACAAGTTCTGGGAATAGACTGAAACCTTGGGCTCAAGGTAGGGCTGCTCTGGCATGGTACTTCAGCTTTCTTCCGGATTATGTAAGGCCCTAGCACGTGCATGGATCAGACAACAAATCCACGCTACGTGGTATCTCCAGTTCTGAAGCGGCAGCCACATAGGAACAGGAGTAGGCCATTCAGCCAGAATCTCGAGCCTGTTCCATCACTTCCTGGGATCAGGCTGATCTGTGGCCTAAATTAATATGCTTGCCTTTGGCTCATAGCTAGTGCAATCATTCGCATATTTAATCAGCTTGTCAACAATAAATAATTTAAGAAATAAAATTTGATCTGCACACGAGCAACTCTCCATACTGTGGATCAGGACATTTGTTAGCTTGCTCAACTTGCGAGCAAACGCCAACACAGATGTCAAAACCGGGGATAAGTGGAGTTGGGAAGCAAACCACGTTGATTAAAAAGAAAGACCCAAAGTTGCTTTCCATTAACAGGTTCGATTCAATAATTGGCCGAAAACGAACCAGTACATTTTGCTAAAAGACCCATGAACCCGACTAACTTGAAGAGTGGAGACGAAGCCTCACCCCATTTCCCCCCACAGAGCCACATTCCACAGGAATATCAGCACCGCCTCAGTCAGGAATTGTCGGAAACATTCCGATCATTATCGGGAAACACGAACACTGGTTGGTTAATGACTGATTTATTTCCGCCACCCATCCCACAAAGAACCTTAAAATTTGACTACTCACATGGAAAGGAATCTTGCGTAAAACTGCACAGGAAATCTAAACGAGTACAGATTCAATGAAATGTATCTCCTCCCTCACCCCATTTCACTGGAAGGGCTGCGTACATTTCCCAGAGCCTTACAGCATGGTATACCCCTCCCTGTGGAATGCCCTGAGCCGGGGCACCGATCACAAACTCTTTTTACAAAACTCACCGCTTGGGTTTTGAACAACTGGCGCGACCTTAGCCGCATCTTCGGCGATTAACTCGTTATCACCACCGGGAACCGTCTCGGAAACGAAAACTAAGAAGGGGAAAAAAGTTAAACAACCCCGACGCGACCACTTCTTTTTCTCCCTTGACCCACCCAGACTGGTGACAACTCCCAGTCAGGGACCCGGGCAAATCTAAATTGTTTCGGCAATCCTGTGACGAAAGCGAACGAGTGACATTGTTGGGGGGGAAAAAAAACAAATTAAAACTTGGGAAGAGAACGTGCTCACCATTTGGCGGACGATGTCTGCCGAAGCCATCACGGGGCTGGAGCCGGTCGGAGCGGCCGGCGGTGACGATAGGGACTGGGTTGGAGAGGAGGAGAGAGTGGCGGTTGGGACTGAGGGGCGGGAATGGAAGCGACTGATGGTGACAGCTCGAACCAGGATCGGCCGGCGGTGACGGTTAGGACTGGAACGCAGATGATCCGTCTCAATCAGGGCACAATACAAGACCTACCAAACACACGAGGGATGGAGTACAGAAACGTGAGTGCAAGAAATTAATTGTGACCCGCAAAAGCACACACAATTACGATCCATCCGGTTTTAATGATTTCTAGTTCGTTAAAAATGCACATTAGAAACTGTCCACTCATTTAGTGTTTTGCCTTAGCATTTGTTCTCCGCCTTATGTCCCCTATTGTGCTATGGCCCAATGGTTGGTGCTTGATTGACAGCTGGACGGTGTGGGACCGGAAGTAATTGGTTGCTATGGGATAATGGGGTGGGAGAGTGTTTGCTTCTCACCACAGGGAAACTCAGCCGCAGCAGCTTGAGAATAGGCTCGTTAGTGAGAGGGAGAGAAAAGAGGCGGATAGGATGATGTTGCTCAAAGGTTGTGCTCGTCGGTTGAAAAAACGCTGCTAATACAAAATACTTTCGTAATGGCAGCGGAATTTAGCGTGAACGCCGTGTGGCAGTTTCTTTCGGACAGAGGAGGGAAAGTGCCGAGTGCTGTGCTGCTGGAACATTTCACAGTTTTTCTGAACAACCCCAATACGAGGGCAGACGCTCGAGGGCTGTTCAAAGAGTTTGTGAACAAAGTGGGGCTGGTGGTCCAAGAAGACGGGGTGAAATACGTTTGTTTGAAGAAGAAGTACCGGCATCAGATTAACTGGTCTGAGGTGCCTGCAGATGGTAAAGGGCATGGTAGGAAAGACAGTGATGGTGCAGCCGACGGTGTGGAAAATGGTGACAGACAATCTGGAGCAATCGGCAGTGGTTCGTCTGCAGAAGGGAGAAAACAAAGTGCAGGTGCAGAAGCTTTGACAGATCCGCCTAAATCGGTACTTTCGGCGCCAGTAGGTGACGGTGGGTATTCGGTCAACTCGTATGATGAGAAATGCAATGAAAGCCAACAGACTGAATCGGTGGACCAGCACAGTGCTGAAGAAAGGCGAGTTGCAAGGCACTCCCCTATAAATGGTACGAGCGCACAAGTTGCTTCGTCAAATGGAACTCCAACTGTGTCAAATATGAACACAGAAATGAAGAATCACGTCCAAAACGAGCATAATCAAGCTACGAAATTGGTGAGTGAATCCAGCCAACTAATTACTGAGTTGGACGAAACATTGGTACATCAAGACTTCTGTGACAGTGTTCAGAAAACGAAAAATGGTGGCGATCTGCTTGGCAGTTTCTACAATCCGGGCGATGATAGAAAAAGCACTCTAACCTGGAATTTGTCTGAAAGCACCGCAAAGCAGGCGCCAGAATCCGAAAAAATAGAAAACCTTGACTCCACAGAACATGATATTAAGTCAAAGAATGAAAGTAAAATGTTAATTATACCTTACTGCAACTTTTCACCTGCACAAGTCAGGATAAGCCCAGACATTAATGTCCGAAGATCTTCCCGAAAGCGTTTACAACGAAGCGTGGCAGTTAATCGATCAAGCAGCCTTTGTGATGATGGAAGCACAATTGAGATCTCGACCAATGCATCCAGCTCAACTGGTGAAAGCTTGTTAAGCACACCCAGGTCGAGTAGGAAAAATTTTAGAGAACTTATGATTAGCAGTTCACCTCAGCTGAGACATAGTGTTGCTTACAGTAACTCTGCCGCCTTTCTAAATATTAAACAAGGAGATTTGGGATCTGATCGAAATGATAGTGACTCCTCTTTGACTTCAAAACTTGGTGATGAAGATACAGGGTCAGTAGCACTTGATCCCTTGGAACACGAGTGGATGTTGCATGCTTCGGAAGGCAGATGGGATAGCCTCAAAGCATTACTGACAACTGATCCCAGTCTGATCACTTGGAAAGATTTTGTCACTGGGTTTACATGCCTTCATTGGGCAGCAAAACATGGTAAACCAGAATTACTGGCAATGCTAATCAATTATGCAGCCAAACATGACATTCCAATCAATATTAATATTCGGTCTAGTGGCGGTTACACCCCTCTGCATTTGGCTGCTATGCATGGGCATGCGGAAGTAGTGAAACTGTTGTCTGGAGCCTATGATGCTGATGTTGATATTAGGGATTATAGTGGTAAGAAGGCGTGGCAATACCTCAGCCAAGATACTTCTGAAGAGTTGAGGGGTCTTATCGGTGCATCTAGAAACACTGATTCTGAAAGCACGTTGCAGAATGAAAGTGGACGTTGGAGACTGTCAAAGGTTCTTCCTGCCAATCTGACCCACAAACTGTCCAGTGCTCCTGAAGAAGAGGCTTATACCGATGGCGCAATTACAAAACCAGTCAGCCGGAAAACCTCAACTAATAAGATAAAATTCAATCGAATAAGATTTAAAACACAAGTCATTCATTCTCCACCTTCCCTGCAAGGAATAGGTGATCAGAGAGATCCAAAAAATGCATTGAAACTCAGACCTAAGTCAACTATTTTTGGATAAAACCATCATAAGAGATTCCCAAGAAGAGCTGAATGTAGTATAAAACAGTTTATTTTCACTACACTTAATATAGTTATTAAATCAATGTTGCCAACTTGAACGTTTTCACTGTCGGCAAAGGAAATATTTGGTGCATATTTGTTAGGTGCCTTCTAATGAATTATGCTAATTATCTGTATTTATCTCCTACTCGAAGTATTGTTTTAGTCCTAAATTGCATTTTTCCACTAGAGTTGGCACTCATAATTGACAGAAAAAGTCCTCTATTTTAGTTCATTGCTATAGCATTTAGAAATACATTAAATTTGCCATACAACTGGAGAACATTGAGATAGGACAGAAAACCCTGCAGACTGTTGTTCTATAAAATTGTTGTCATACTTATGTAATAGTAATGGAATGCCAAGTGTCAGTGTAAATCTGCATTGTAAAATATTGAGAGACCTGGTGCATTCAGTTTCTGGTTCGTGGTGACATTATAGTGCTTCCAAATGTTAATCTAATAGTTCAATTGCAAATACCTGTGAATAACATTGAAAGTAATTTCAGTGATTTTAAAACAAAGTAGAAGAATTTAGTCTTTGAAATGCAGCCTTGGTTTCATTAAAAGGTTACTACAAGTAGTAACTATGGTTATTACAAGTTTAAATCTATGTTATGTAAGTTATGACCAGATGTGCTACTTTGAATGTAATAATGGTGATTGGTTATGCTGATAAGATGGCTAGAATGAGACAGGTTCTAAGAGGGGCATTCTTTCTCTAAGTAACGTAACACATAAATATTATGAAATAGCATTTGTAAACTTAAAAGATGCTAATTGACTAAATATATCTGTAATAGAATTTTTCATCCTCCACTTAAGAAAATATATTATGATAGAACCTATTTTGTGTCTCCACTTCCACCCCCCCCCCCCCCCCCCGACAAGCATGTGCACACACACCCAAAGGAGGACAGTATAAAATCTTATAAAATGTTATATAAATTTATAGGAATGAATTTTGTTTCAGGAATCTGTTTTAAGAGGTGAAATAGGAAAATTATATTTCATGGTGCACCGAGAAATCATAATCATAATCGGGCTGCTCCTTTTAGTTTTTGCAGTTAGATTCCAGAGAAGTCCTTTTCTTTTACGGATACTTGCAAAATATACTGCCAATAAATGGATTAACTTTTAGTTGCCCTTAGTGCAGCTTCTAGAAAAATGAAATGAAGCTCATTAAGTTGTTGAACCACATACTGGCTCAGTACATCATGTTCATACTGCCCTGAAAATACCAGCGACTTTTCTTTCAAAGCTGAAATGCTGCTTAAATTAAGGTGGACATTAATTTCAATAATTAAGTGAAAGCGTAGGTACTATTGCTATAGGAATTAACTGTGAATGTTTTCAAAAACATCTCAATATGCCTTTAGTCATATATTATGGAAACTTAAACATCATATCTCTATTTGCTAGTGTAATATAGTTTCCTGAATCCCATGACAAGTCTGTAATTTTCTTCCTTCAGATTAAGTAACTTGATTTGTAATAAAATTTACTGTGGATTAAAATTGTTATCCTATTTCCAAACAATAGAAACTGGGCTTAGTGTGTTGAATGTTGTGGTTTATAAGTGTTTCTGCAGATGTAGATGGTGTCAGATAGGCTGTGTTGCATTTGAAATATTGTTTAATTAGGCTCTTAAAGGATACTACAGTTTTAAGTTGTAACAAACTGTTAACTCTGTTCAGAATTATAGAATGTATAGTCTTGAACTGCACAAATTACAGAAACTGGATTGCTTGTGGCACTGAGCAAAGCTCTATGTTTAATGTAAGATAATTAATTGTTTTCTTAAACATCTCTCAGATTTGTTTTCCAGTATAAGCCATTTTGCTTTAGTGGCCCTTTAAATGTCATTCAGAACATGTATATTTTATAACACATTTCATGGTCATTTAGTCCTTATGGATATGCCTTAGAGGTTTGGAAAACTATTACTATTAACCTCTGCTATACTTTTCGTCTCCATATAAATTTCCCATAAAAAGGGGTTTTGAGGACGAGATAATCTTAACTGAATTGGTACTGGATGTATGTTCATGGCACAGAATTAAATGCAGTTTGGCAAAGATTGGCAGTGTTATTCAGAGAATTGCAAGGATAGCTAACGTGAAAGACTTATAATGTTTGCTGTCTGTGCGTTCTAATTTTGGAGATATTTATTTGGAAAGAGTAGGTTATGATCTACTGCTGACATTTGCCATAAATGACAAGTGTTTACAATGTTGACAAGTAGTAAAAGTGGAAAAAGACTGTTCTGGTTCCTTTCACTGATTTCCTCTGGTATAATGAGTACAAAACCACTTTTGGTGCTGTGGACTGAAAAAGCCAAACCATTGTGCCTGGCACAACTTGAACTAGAGTGACAGTCAGACCATTCTTTCGCAGCCAGTAAGAGACACTGATGCAGTATTAGGTAGGGCAGGAGAGAATAGGGAGAAGGCTAATAGCAGAGTCTGATAATTAAGCAAAAGAAATGCTAGTTTAAAGAATAAACAAGTTGGCATGAAATCAGAAACAAGATTAGAAATTACTAGAAAATCTCAACAGGTTTGGCAGCATCTGTGGAGACAAAGCAGAGTTAACATTTCAAGTCCAGTGACACTTCTTCTGTACCAGAACTGAAGAAGCATCACTGGATTTAAAATGTTAACTTCTGCTTTTTGTCCACAGGTGCTGCTAAACGTTTTGAGCTTTTCCAGCAATTTCTGACTTTTGTTTCTGATTTCCAGCATCCGCAGTTCTTCTTGGATGTCAACCTGATTGCCTCATGTCACAAGCATGGATCAAAGTACAATTTATAAGGATCATTGCAACACCAGAGCACTATATCATACATTGTAACATTTACAAAACTTAATAAATGAAAAATGTGAATTTTTCAAAAGCCATTTACAGCACAAGATTAGTGGTAAAGAAAACTATGATGTAACAAGACTGAATGATAAAAGTGCTAAAATAATGTCATTATTTGTTTCAGTGGATGCTGTGTAATTTTTGTGTTTGTAAGTGAACCAAAAGTCTGGAAGACTTTTGTATGTTTTTGCTTTGAAAACATAGCACTTTATACTTGTGAATATAACTTGAACAAAATAATGGTTCATCTCTGTTGCAGTAAAATATGGTTTGTTTACTAAAATCATAATTAAACAAAACAAAAACAAGTTCTTTGTAAATCATGATTGATATTAAATAACTTTCATTTTGGGAGATCAGATATGCACTGCATTGCACTTACATACATGTTTAAATTCAGCCTTCATTAATTTAGTCAAATGTCTCCTGTCCTTGCATTTTGAGTGAGAATGTGAAATGAGAGGGACAGCAAATTTCCACTGAGACAAGACAACAAAACAAAGCAACACAAATTTGGCATTCTCATTTAGAGAATACATGGCTGGTGTGAGAAGTGAATACCTTCACATTACTGCAATGAGTGATAATATGATGCTAGAATTCGTAGCACAGGAGGAAGTTAGTAAGATTACTGTACATGTACCAGTTGCTTCTGAATTAATAATTAAAGGAAAACTAAATGTGGTGAATCTATCTTTATGTTCAAAATAATTCCTGTTTCATAAAAGAACACTACTTTCAATTTGCTTTGACTTAATTTCTTTGCTGACATGTAGTCCTTCAAATAGGTTCATTTCCTTGTTATTCTGCTGTAAGCACTAGGACTTGACTTTGGAAATCCACTTCAGTGCTGCTTTAGGTCCATCTGACCATGGAAGTTGCGCTTCAGGTTCGAAACAGCTCAGCTTGTATTCCAGAAATTAATGCATAACAGACCATTTAGATTTAGATTTAGACTTTTTTATCACGTGTACTCAAGTACAGGAGTACATTGAAAACTTTTCATACAAAGATACAAGTACCTAGGTACAAAAACCTAAGAACAAGGTAGAAAGAAGTAAGGAACAAAGTTAAAAGCTAAACGTTACACTTAGTAGACCATTTAAAAAAAGAAATAAAGTTAAACGTAATAGTCTTTCTTAGTATTAAGTTGAAATAGTAAGAAGTAAAGCTAAAAGATCAACCATTGTCATCATTAAGTGCATAGCCATACTTGGACTGTACTTACTACAAGGGCTCAATCTCCTCTACTTTGGCACACGTGTCCTGCACTGGCTCCATCTCCCCTGTTCTCATCGGTGCAGATATTGGGAGAACCTCCATCGCCGTGTCTCAGTCTCAGACTGCCAAAGCCCTGTTCCAGACATTGTCCAATCCAGCCTTTGGTCCGCGTGCTGGGTTAAGACCCTAATCGCTACTTTGCAGTGGACATCTAGCCGACTGCCAAATTCAACAAGCCCAGTAAAGCCACAGCCACTCTCCAGAACATAAATTAGTAGAGGAAAAAAAGGTACAGCTTGGCATGCACATACAAAATCTCTAATGTTAGTGGAGCAACCAGCATAGGGAGAAAGAAGACCATAAGAAATAGGAGCAAGAGTAGGCCATTCAGATATCATGCCTGCTCATTTGAGAGGATCATGGCTTATACAACATTACGCACATCCACTTTTCTACGTTTTCCCATATCCCCGATCCCAGTTCTGCGGAACGGTCACCGGACCTGAAACGTTAAGTCTGTTTTTTCCTTCACCGATGCTGCCAGACCTGCTGAGCTTTTCCAGCAACTTTGTTTTTGTTCCTAATTTACAGCATCCGCAGTTCTTTCAGTTTTTCCCTTGATTTCCCTTACTGATCATGAATCTATCTCAGCTGTAAACGTACACAAGGACTCTGTCCCCACAGCTCTTTGTTGCAAAGCATTCCGAAGGCACAAGCCTTTGGGCGAAGAAATTCTTCCTCATCTCAGTCTTAAATTGGTATCCCTTTATTCTGAGACTATTCCCTCCGGTGTCAAACTCCCATGAGGGGAAACATCCTCTCAGCATACCCTATCAAGCCCCTTAAGAATCCTATATGTTTCAATGGATCACCTCTCGTTCATCTAAACTCCAGTAAGTAGAGACCCCACCTGTTTTAATCTTTGCTCATGAAACAATCCCTCTGTACCTCTATACTGAACTTTTTCTGAACTGCCTGCAATGAAATAATGTCTTAATATCCAATTAATCTTTTCAATATTAGAATAAGTGTTGATGTTTTTAAAGAAGTACCCAAGAAATTTAGAGTTTTATTTTGTTAGAAAGGTAGAAACTAGAACATAAGAAATTGAAGCAAAGGTAGGACATTCAACCCTCAAGCCTGGTCAGTCAATACCTCTGATACCTCTTCCCCACCCCACACCGCCTGATGCATTGCAGTGTCCATAGCTCAGGCTCCAGCTCATCAACTCTGAGTGAAGTTTCTCAAGTAGCCAACATTTCCTGTAAATATGGTCATAATGGATTGCATTAATGTCTACCAGGTCCACGTATAACAGCTGCAACTCATTCTGCCCAGCCATTCCTATTCTATTTAATGAACTAATTTAAATCTTAAACATTTTAAAAATGAATTTCTTAACTGTGCTTTTCACGTAATAACATCTCTAGATTTAAACCAATTAGCCATTTGAGAGATACAGAAGAAATATCCACCAATCACCCATCTGTTTCCTTGTCACATTTCAACTGTTCCAGGTAGAAACAAGTTAACACAATGTGGAGCTAGAGGAACACAGCAGGCCAGGCAGCATCAGAGGAGCAGGAAAGCTGATGTTTCGGGTGGAGAACCTTCTTCAGAAATGGAGGAGGGAGAAGGGAGCTCTGGGAAAAAAATAGAGGATGGTTGGGGCTGGGGTAGGTAGGTGGGATGGTGATAGATGAGTGCAGGTAGGGAGTGGTGGGGATTGGTCAGTGAGGTGGGAGGAGCAGATAGTGGGAGAGAAGACAGACAGGTTGTGTCAGCTCAAGGAAGCGGGGATGAGAGGGAGGGTTGGTCATGGGATGAGGCCAGGGGTGGGGAGATTTTGAAACTAGTAAAGTCCACATTGAGACCATTGGGCTGTAGGCTCCCAAGGCAGAATATGAGGTGCTGTTCATCCAGTTTCTAGCTGGCATCATTGTGACACTGGAGGAGGCCCAAACTGGACATGTCCTCCAGAGAGTGGAAGGGGGAGTTGAAGTGGTTCGCCCTGGAAGGTGTTGTCGTTTGTCGCAAACAGAGGGCAGGCGCTCTGCAAAGCGGTCTCTGAGCCTCTGCTTGGTCTCGCCAATGTAGAGGAGGCCGCAGCAGATGCAATAGACCACAGTAGCGGATATCTGTCTAATGTGGAAGGTTTGTTTGGTGCCTTGAATGGAGGTGAGGGGGGAGGTGTAGGGGCAGCACTTCCTGCGGTTGCAGGGAAAGGTGCCGTGGGTGGTGGGACTAGTGGGAAGTGTGGAGTGGACGAGGGAGTCGAAGAGAGCAGTTCCTACAGAAGGCAGATAGGGATGGGGAGGGAAATATATCCTTGGTTGTGCGTCAGATTGTAGGTAGTGGAAGTGGCGGAGAATGATATGTCGAATCCGGAGGTTAGAGGTGTGATACATGAGGACAAGCGGGTATTTTGTCTTTGTTTTTGTTGCGGGGAGGGAATGTGAAGGTAGAGGTGCGGGGAACACAAGGGGGGATGTTGCGGTCCTTGAAATAAGAGGACATCTGGGATGTTTGGGAATGGAAAGCCTTATCTTGGGAGCAGATGTGGAGGAATTGGGAGTAGGGGATTGCATTCTTCCAGGAAGGTGAGTGAGAAACAAATTGAAGGTGCTTTCTGTTGCTGGTTTTTATCTGCTGCTGCCACTGCCCTTCTCATGCAGGTCCACTCTTCTGTTTATGAAGCTGCTATCCCTGGTCTGTCACATTGTTTGAGAAGCTGCTGATTCTGCTGTCTCTGAAGCTGTTGATCCCAATTTCTGACTTGGAACAAAAAATGTTTCCCCTTGACTTCCCTTCAACTTTAATACATTGAATAGCAACAAAGTAGGATTTGAATTTTGCATTTGGCCCTGTTAATGCCGACCTGAGAGGCAGAGATCTTGGCACTGGATGAGAAAAAGTAACAATGATCTTCACTATCTTGATGGAAACGAGCACAAAAATCTTAATTTAAAGTTATCCAGCAGCATATCAATATAATGTAATCAAATGTTTTTTGCCAAATGCATTTTTATTCCACAAGTTTATCTTGCATTCAATTTTTAATTGGGAGATATGATCAGTTAAAAATATACTGTTTTCAATCTTCTTTTAAAATTCTTTTTCAGGATGTGTATGTCGCTGGCTAAGCATTTGTTACACATCAGAAACTGCCTTCAGAAGGTCATGCTGCTGTATCACCTATGGTGTGGGTACACCCACCATGGTATCAGGAAGAGTGTTCTGGGATTTTGACCTATCAATAGTGAAAGAATGATATTGCTCCAGGTCAGTACGGTTTGTAGCTTGAAAAGAAACTTGTGGATGGTGGTGTTCCCATGTGTCTGCTGCCTTTGATGTTTTGAGTGGTAGAAGCTACAGTTTGAAAGGTACTGTGAGAGGACCTTTAGCGAGTGATGCAATGCATTTTATATAGATAAATACTGCTGCCACCACCGGTGGAGGGAGTGAATGTTGAAGGTGGTGGATGGGTGCCAGTCCAAAAAACTGCTTTGTCCTGGA